TGCACAGCCCGGCTGCGTACGCCGCATGACCACGTCGTCCAGTCCGGCGGTCGCCATCTTTCGCGACAGCCGCACGGGTGCCCTCGTCTTGCACGGTTGTCACCGTCTCCTTTATCCACCGGACCATCATCATTGTCGTCCACCCCAGCCGCCGTCGCCGCCGCCGCCTACGTTCGCCTTGGCTGCGGCCCTCCTCCACCGCAACCACCGTCATCACGTTCTTCCGCTGCAGCTCATCCTCCGTGCTCGTCACTTCCGTCCACCACCGTGGTCCTCGTCCATGGCAGCCGTCAACGTCGCCCTCTTCCGCCTCCGCTGCAGTTGTCGTCCTCGTCCGCCCCAGCCGCCATGGGCGGCATTGTTGTTCAGTGCATCTAGTCCCCACTCATCGCCTCCACCACTACGCACAAAGAACACCAAGAGTGACAAAGCGCTAGAGAAAAGATAGCCATGGCGGCGGCGGCGGTGTTCGCAGGAGAACACACGATCTGATCGATGAGCGGATAGGAAAACTAATTACCATGGGGTTTCTCGCAAAACTATAGGGCAAGAGGCGGGCTTTTTTTTTTTGCAAAATTACCTCACCTAAATATTAGCCTTTGGATCTAGATTGGAGGGGCCTAATTGTGTGTGTGTGTGCATGAGTGCACCAGATACGTTGCCCCGATAAATACAATATATATACCTAATGGAATTAGAGATTTTCATGAGATCGAAGGATTTGAAAAACAAATTAAAGAGGAGATGGAGGTGCTATAGTTAATTGCATGTACACAAGCTTCATACTAGGCAACATAAAAAAATAGTTATGCTTTATATTTTAGGATGATGGAGAACCAGATTTAAGATGCCCTCTCGTGATAGAATGTGGTGTTAATTAAAAGGCTAAATTATGAATAAGAAACAAACAAATCTAGGACGTCCTAGGATCTTAACATTCCAAATTATGAATAAGTAAATTATGTTGATGATATAGTAGTTATGTGGGTTCGATCTAGTTTGAGAACTTGAAATATGTGAGCAAATTAACAAGTGAATTCGGTGGTAAAAACAAATTGCGTTACCTAAGATTTTTTTGTGGTACCTTGGTGAGAGCACCATGGCATACTCTTGTATTTCAGATTTGCTTGAGGACTTGTTCTATGAAATATTGATCATGCATGGAGGCTAAACTGGACACGTAAGTTTTGTTTTTTAAGATTATGCCAAATCAGTATTATCATGTATGCCCCTAGTAAGATGGCATGCTTACATGGACAAAAAAAATCATGTGCATGTCTAAATGCAAGAATAAGCAAAATTATTGCACCACTATGCTCAATTTCTAAGTTTTGCCCCTACATATCAAGTTTCTATACCTTAAGCATATATAATTTACTCATTAGGAATTAAGGCTAAGGAGTATAATTTGAGATTAAAGCGGCGGTCTGATTGACACAACAAATCAACAGACGAATTTAGGGCTTGTTTGGGGGAGCTTAAGATTCTGAGAAGCAGCTAGTTGGTAGCCAGCTTCTAAGAATCTGGAAAAGCTGGGTTTCCCAGCTTCTGGCTTCTAGTTCATTTTCTGGATTCTACAACTACAGCTTCTCAGAATCTGGACCAAAAGTTGGATTGTTTAAGGACGCTTCTGATTCTGGGAGAAGCTGTAGCAGCAAGAAGCTCCGCTAAATAGGCCCTTAATTGTAAGTCCAAGACCGAAGAAGTTTACCCATTTTTATATATCAATAATATTTCTTGTTCTCATGATTCTAATTCGCTCGGAATGAATTTTGACATGGACCTGTTGCATCGGAAATATGGCAAGATAAGATTTCCATTAAGTCATGATGAACCAAATCAGAGTTTGCATATGCACATTTCAAGTCACTGTTGTCTCGTGAGGCCAAACCGGGCACATGGATGTGATACACTTGATCTCCGACTTTGACTTGGGGTAGAAATATCTCTTTGCTGATCCAATGTCCATTACTAAGTGCAAGCACATCGCAAGCATTAGGCGCAAAAGGAAAAAAACATAAGCACAAACCAAAGAGACAACATATATTACCTGGTAATTAAGTTAGCATACACATACTCATGTTTGTAGGCCCTTGTTGAAAAGTTTCTTGTGTATATATGTCTATCCAACAAAGTGATGTCATATGTTTAATTTGGTTATATATTGATCCGTCTGTTTGGTAGAGCTTCATCTCCTAAATTTAGCTACAAGAGCAGGGTCTGAAGTGGAGTTGTAAAGCTGCCTAAGCCCAGCTCCACCTCTCTAGTTCATTTTGTAAGAGTGCTCCACCCAGCTCCGCTCCAGGAGAGGTGGAGGTGGAGGTGAAGCTGTGCCAAACAGGCCTATCCGATAAAGTTTTGGTTCTATTGAACTTTTCATATTTACTTCATTATAACCGATAGTACATTCGTATTGTCATTTTATCTACCCGGTCACATTATTCTGGAATGCCCTAATAAACATATCTGAAAGGAATATGCAATATATAGATCAAACACACATAATTATATATGTAGTGTACTGTGTACGTGGTCTTCCTAGAATCAACATGTTTTAAATTTACATACGACGGATCCTAGTTGGAGTTGTTTCCAAGTTGTTCGGAACATATATATAACCATAAATCTTTTTTTTCTAAATTATATTACTCCCTCCATTTCAAAATGTATGATGTTGTTTTTATCTAAAAAAATTGTATAAATATCATTTATTTTATCATGACTTGTTTTATCATCAAATAAAATATAATCTTAACTTACACTTTTATATATTTATACTAAATTTTTAAATAAAACGAATAGACAAACGTTATGCGAAAATTTAATGGCGTCATATATTTCTATTCTGCTCTACGACTCCGAGTCCAAACCTTCGACGAGACGATGACGCCCTGGACGGCCCAACCCCAAGTGACTAGCAGGCGAGCGGTTGGCGTCTGCCTCCTCAACCTTGTTGTCCTTGACTCCTCATCCTCGGTGTCGATAGTCGATAGCTCAACCTAGACGGACCTGGTAAAATGGTAAGTTGAGAACATGATGTCAGTAATACTACTTGACTCTTTTAGCATTATAATACTTGATGTATGTCTAAATATTATAGGAAATAACATATATTGAAGTCATATAATTGAGTAAAAGTATGCCTTATTTATTTTAGACATGAATTTGGTTTAAAATTTTAGGATCCTAATTTTCATTTCATCTTATGGCCTCAAACCCAGAGATGGCGCCGATACCTTATGATGTAAAACATGCTTAATATCGAAATGGTTCATCAACTAAGATCGTATATGTTGGGTTTAGTCCCATATCAGTAATTGATGATGGGGAGCACGACTTAAAAGGTGGGGGCGGTACTCACCCATCAGACTAGTCTTTTAGGTTGTGTAGGCTCAGGACTTAAAGTTGCGGCTCCGGTTGGACCTATGGTGTAGCAGGCCCAATGTGATTTGGGTGGCCCACGGTTGATGGGCCGGGCTGCGCACTCTGACAAGTTGTATCAGAGACCAAGGTTTGGAATCCGGAACAATCTCCATGGGTCACATGGTGGAGAGGCCCGGTAACAAGTTTTCGAGGTCACATGGGTTGATGTGACAAGTAACAAGTCTTCGGGGTCACATGGATTGATGTGACATGGGATATTGTCGGGGTCACATGGGTTGATGTGACAGGGAACATTGTTGGGCTAGACCAGGTAACAAGTCTTCGGGGTCACATGGGTTGATGTAACGGGGAGATTGTTAGGTTTAGTCCCACATCGGCAATTGATGACCAGGTAGCAAGTCTTAAGGGTCACATGGGTTGATGTGACGTGGGAGATTGTTGGGTTTAGTCCCACATTGGCAATTGATGATGGGGGAGCACGACTTAAAAGGTGGGGGCGGTCCTCATCCATCAGACTAGTCTTTTTGATCGTCTTGATGGGCCCGATGTGTGACGGGGGAGATTGTTGGGTTTAGTCCCACATCGGTAATTGATGATGGGGGAGCACGACTTAAAAGTGGGGGCGGTCCTCACCCATCAGACTAGTCTTTTGGATTGTCTTGTTAGGCCCAATGTGTGATGGGGGAGATTGTTGAGTTTAGTCCCACATCGGTAATTGATAATGGGGGAGCATGACTTAAAAAGTGGGGGGTGATCCTCACCCATCACACTAGTCTTTTGGGTTGTGTAGGCAGAGGACCTAAAGTTGTGGCTCCGGTTGGATCTGTGGTGTAGCAGGCCTAATGTGACCTGGTTGGCCCACGGTTGATGGGCGGTGCTGCGTACTCTAACAGTATTAAGATCTTCCCAAGAGAATTGTGTGGTCCTTATTATTACCTTTGATCAATTGCAAATTAAATAAAAATTATGACCCTAACCGCTCCCTTTGTTTTCAAATGTAAGCATTTCTAGTGTTTAAATTGTGTACACAATGTAAGCTTCTGATTCCAATTCACATGAATAAAACTTTTTCAATCCATCAGGTGCTTTGGAGGGGAATTCGAGCAAGTCAGAATTTGGCTGATGAGGTGTCGGAAAGAGAATCTTTTCCTTATCCTCAATCTTTTTGCTGAACAACTGGAGTAGTATAGAGATGTGTATATCTAGGAATGGAGGGAGTATGTTTTGTTGAACGAGTGAACGACACTTTTTTTCATCAAGGGTACCTAGCTAGCTAGGGACCATGTGGTTTTGTGCCAATATGTATGTTGATGTTGATGAGCTTTATATCACAACTCACCAAGGCCCCACGTCGAGTAGGGTTCAGAGGACTTACACAACACATATGGCAAATGGTCCTTACCCCAGAGAAACGCAGAAATGTTCAATGTATGCATATATACACACACGCGATCGATCGAATTCCTGTGTGCTGAGCTGAGACTGGGAGAGGATATATATACAAAAATACAAGTCAGTCGTTTCCTGAAGAAGAGGATTACAAAGGAGGCAGATCCGTTTCCAGCCCCCCCTCCCCTCCCATTCAGCCAATAATAAATGCCCTAGGTCACTTGTAGCCAATAGCGATTCAACATACACACATGTACTACCACAGCTTTTGCCCCAACAGTAGTGTCCTTTGCCTTGTATTCTCCTCTCCTCTCCTCTCCTCTTGGTGATGACTGATCGATGACCACCAGCTGCTGCACATATCATCCCCTTTCACTCCCTCTCCCTCTCTCTCTCTCTATAAGATGGCAACACCCTGATCTCTAGCTTAGCTGCAGAGGGGAGAGGAACCTCACATCCAAACTCCTAGCTACAACTTGTACTAGCATCCTAAGCAACCAAGCACAACCAAAGCAAGCAAGCACGAACAATTCTTTCTTCCTCTCTACCTCTAGCTGCTGCCTGCCTCCTAATCCTCCTACCCACCACTCCACATGAGCCCATGCTGTGTGCCTGTGTCTGTGTGTGTGTTCTACTCCTACCATGAGAGAAGAGACCAAGCATCAACCAAGCTAGCTAGCTCGTCCTCTCCTCGATCTCTACTTCTCTCTCCCACACAAGCTGAGCGCCCAGGTAGGCTGCCTGCTAGGTCTCGTGCATGGCCGGACACATCTGATCATAGCCCACTACGGCACTATTCCCCCCTTCCGCCTCGCACGCTGAGAGGTGGCCGGAGAGGGAGGGAGGCCAGCGAGCAGCAGTAGCAGCAGCAACGCGGCTAGGAGTAAGGAGTCCCATCAGTAAAGCATGCTTCCTTTCTTCGATTCCCCAAGCCCCATGGACATACCGCTTTACCAACAGCTTCAGCTCACCCCTCCCTCTCCAAAGCCCGACCACCACCACCACCACCATTCCACCTTCTTCTACTACCACCACCACCCACCTCCCTCCCCTTCCTTCCCCTCCTTCCCCTCCCCCGCCGCCGCCACGATCGCCTCGCCGTCGCCGGCCATGCACCCCTTCATGGACTTGGAGTTGGAGCCGCATGGGCAGCAGCTGGCGGCGGCGGAGGAGGACGGGGCAGGCGGGCAAGGCGTCGACGCCGGGGTGCCCTTCGGCGTCGACGGAGCGGCGGCGGCCGCGGCGGCGAGGAAGGACCGGCACAGCAAGATAAGCACCGCCGGCGGGATGAGGGACCGGCGGATGCGGCTGTCCCTCGACGTCGCCCGCAAGTTCTTCGCGCTCCAGGACATGCTCGGCTTCGACAAGGCCAGCAAGACGGTGCAATGGCTCCTCAACATGTCCAAGGCCGCCATCCGGGAGATCATGAGCGACGACGCCTCCTCCGTCTGCGAGGAGGACGGCTCCAGCAGCCTCTCCGTCGACGGCAAGCAGCAGCAGCACAGCAACCCGGCGGATCGGGGCGGCGGCGCCGGGGACCACAAGGGCGCCGCTCACGGCCACAGCGACGGGAAGAAGCCGGCCAAGCCGAGAAGGGCAGCGGCCAACCCGAAGCCACCGCGGCGGCTGGCCAATGCGCACCCCGTCCCCGACAAGGAGTCGCGCGCCAAGGCGAGGGAGCGGGCGCGGGAGCGGACCAAGGAGAAGAACCGGATGCGGTGGGTCACCCTCGCCTCGGCAATCAGCGTCGAGGCGGCCACCGCGGCGGCGGCCGCGGGGGAGGACAAGTCGCCGACGAGCCCCAGCAACAACCTGAACCACTCATCGTCCACCAATCTTGTGAGCACCGAATTGGAGGACGGCTCCTCGTCAACGCGCCACAACGGCGTCGGCGTCAGCGGCGGCCGGATGCAAGAAATCTCGGCGGCTAGCGAGGCGAGCGACGTGATCATGGCGTTCGCCAACGGCGGCGCGTACGGCGACAGCGGCAGCTACTACCTGCAGCAGCAGCATCAGCAGGATCAGTGGGAGCTCGGCGGCGTCGTCTACGCCAATTCGCGGCACTACTGCTGATGTGATCATCCATCCACACACGAACGAACGAACGAACGGTACGGCACTAAGATCGAACTCCTGCAGCTACATAATTATCCTTTGCTTCTCAAGAGTAATAATTCTTGACGTGTTAATTAATCCGGGTGTGTATTAATTCCCTCTTTATTATTTTTTCTCGCGTTTATCCGGAGTTGACTGTGGTGAAGACGAACTTTGGTTTGGTCATCGCATGGTGTGCATTGCATATATAGCTAGCACTATCGTCTGATCGATGATTCATCATCAATGGAGTCGTCTAGTATTAATCTGTGTGCATGTTCAGATGCTCTCTGTAAACTGATAAGCTGGATACCTTGATCGCGAGCAGGTAGATATGCCTCTCCTGAATGAGTGAAAAACAGCTGGTTTATAGTTTGCAAAAGTTGGAGACTTGTTACTGTATTAGATCAGATCTGAAGCTAGGACACTAACTTTCCAATTTCAATCATAAATAAGAGGGAGCATATGGTGGATACGACCCAGACTTGCAGTAGTGTTTTAGTTCATCATCATCAGATGTTCATAAAATAATTACACTTGGCATGCATGTAAGATGAATTTCTGTACCAACTCCAGCTTAACAATTGATGTGCCTCTGGAAAAGGTAGTTGATCATTTCATTGATTGGTTCACATGGTAAGTTCCACGATTCAGCTAGTTTTTTCTCCTGATTCCTCACTAATTTCCTGATGAGTGGTGGTAAAATTACATCGAATTTTCTTCACTACTGTAAGTAAGTAAGTAAGAATGTTTGAAAGTAAGTAAGAATGTTTGAAAGTAAAGGTCATGGTACTCATATATGTACAACTCACTAGATGCATATTCCATAAAGTACATTATCCATTATGCATATATGCTATTCCACGCATTGATGGACACACATCATATAGCATCTGTTTGCTGAAAGGTAATTAAATATTAAGCTAGCACAAACACATCAATGTTTTGATGTTTATTTTGCCAACAGATCGATGCAGAACACTTCAAATTGATGTAGGAAGCACAATGGAAACTAAAATACTTCATTGGTAATTAAAAGCCAAATGGACGTGTTTTGTAAGTTGTAACTATATACACACAAGTCTTCCAGCCAACTTATAATGACAACTGAAGTGTGGTATACTATAAAACTGAAGTATGGAAGTACTGCCCTTAATTAAAAAAAAGAATAAAGCTTAATACAATTGCTAATATTTTTTTCTAAGTCCTATAGGGGGAGGTCGGGAGCTATATATCTCATGTATCCACTCCCCAGAAAAAAAAACTCAACTAATGCACCAATAAGAAAGTACTGTAATTTATATAAGAAAAAATGATCGAAACCCTAAATTATTCTGGCTTGAATTGAAGACTTCGTTGATAGAGAAGATCTTTTTCCCCACTTGTGAAATAATGAAGGGACTGCAGGTGAAGAAGTATTTATTGTTCAGGGCATATAAAAGTAGCTAGCTAGCAGCATCAGGTTAAAACATACAATATATAATTGATATTATCGAGTATAATACAACTGATGTTCCAGTATATACTGTTCTATTATTATCATGCATATTTGTATGTATTTCAATACCATAATCGCTGTGCTAGGTCAGTTAGAGAATATATTTGGATTCAGTACAGTACTACGGTTTGCTACTTTTTTTTTATTTTGATTACTGCTACCTCCGTCCCAATATATGTGTAGTTGTGGGTTTCCATGTCTAATTTTTGACGGTCCATCTCATTTGAAAAAAAATATGAAAAAAATTAAAAAAAAATAGTTACACATAAAGTAATATTCATGTTTTATCATCTATTATCAATAAAAATACTAATCATATTTTTTTCCAAATAAGACGGATGGCAAAACGTTGGACACGGAAATCCACAACTGTATATTGGAACGGAGATAGTACAATATATATAGATTTCCCCTTATATATTCAACTTTTTCTACCACCGACATTGTATTAAGGCTCCCATTTAGTATAGCTGAAATTGATGGATTTTATAGTTATTTGAAGGCATAAAAGAATGAACTAATTACTATAAAGTTGAAAAGTTGATTTATAGAAGTATTCCAGGAAAATTTTATATAAAATTCTTTTGAACGAAATGTGTTGTCTAGGATCTTGGGAAATATGTACATGAAAAATCCAAAATAAAAAACACAACAAGGCCTAAATAATCTTATGAGGTTATTATTTTTTTGAGCTATATCATTCTTCCATTACCATAATTTTAAAAAAAATACACTTCACATAAGGGATCAATGCAGCCCCTTATCGATCATAACTATTTTGTGCATTGTACAACTTTTATTTAATTCATTGTTTCTATGGTTATATATCTTCTTCTTTTGGATAGCAAGGCTATTTCTTTTTTATAAGATATTTTTTATTGTCCTTGAGAAATACCTCGGGTGTCTTAAATTTTACCTTATACCTTGAGCTAACTAGCTAGTACCTATCGGTACAAAGTTTTATCCTTAGAAAGCATAGTACCTCCCCCTTCTCAAGCATGATAAAATTATCATTTTACTATGTTTATTGCATATCAGTATATACAAATTTGGTTCGATAAACTTTGAAGCAATCAATTAATATATCAACCAATCAATTAATATATCAACCAATGCTTTGGCTGAATACATTATGATGTAGATTCAGATTCTCCATATTAAAAAATCCACCAATATTGTGTTTGCAAAAATGCATGGGAGGAAAAAAATACTTATTGCCGCGTCCCCTAATTAAACATGCTGACAGAAGTTAACAGATGAACACATGTACACAATGAATTCTTGGACTATAAAATGATATGGATTTTTACTAATAAAAATAAAGTAGTGGAAAGTAAAAGGTGTGGTGGGCATCTGTAAATTTACCAACAAAATTCCTTCCACCGGCCGCCTCGTCCCAACAGCACTAGAACTGCGATTGATCTGTCACCACCAATATAATGGGCCGGTCGGTAGCAGTAAAACTAACTGTTTGGGCACGTAAAATGTACAACGATTAATTGCAGCCACGACCACAATGGTCACATGCTGTACTACAAGAGGACTAAGGACAAACAGTGTGCACATGTATCTAGTCATGTCATTCTGAAGTACTTTGTGTAAAAAAGACCAAGGATATTGTATCTATGCACAGTCAATACGCGTACCTGATCTGATGAACTGAGTACATCGCACAGTCACGGTACAAGGGTACTGTTCCATCACCCAATCGTAGAATGCAGTTTAGTTCCATCATCAAAAGATGTGTACATACTCTATCAGTATCGTGCATATGCGCTTTGCTCATATATATATGCATGCAACTCGTTGTACAAAATTCAGTACGAGCACTCCATATGTTCATCGTCAGAATCATATCTTATTTCACCAAGAAAAATAAAACACTTTAATTGTTTGAACCCCTGGAGACATGTATTCGATCACATAGAGTATCAATCAGGTCATGCGTGATGCCACAAATTTCAATCACTAAAAACATATTTACTGCAGCAAGATCAATTGGATCTCCATACCATTTACTGGCAAAAATTTTATAGATCATCGCATGGAATGATGCTATATATAATGTATATATAATGTAGCATGAGAACAGAGCACCCTTGGTTACACGACATATAGCACCAATAGCTAACGTGAAAACCGTACTGCAGCAGTTGCATGACCTGGTCAAAAATTAACCTTTCAATTTGGTCCACAATATATAATGTATTATATCTAACCTGCTGTCATGATCGATTTTGCCCAGTGCAAAAACTATTAAAACCTGTACAAGACTTAACCACACGCTTTCGGTTAGCCATGGATTATATACAGTGGTTTTGGTCTGGATCTAACCTCTTATGACCGATTGATCTGGATCTGCCAATGAAAACCATTCCAACCTGCATCAAAATTTGACTTAGCATGGAATATAAGTGCTTGTACAAATTCCATAGCAGAATGGCACAAAATTTCACAAACTGAAAACAGAATCCTTTTCTAAATTAAATTTTGTTATCGACGAACGCGCAGATGTGTAGCAAATTTGGCAAAGTCTACGAAAGTTGCAGGCCGAGTGTCTAAATTAACCGAAAACACACATGAATCTCTGTGAAAATCAATGGCCAAAGGCTTGTATCGACTTCTTGTGGAATCAAAAATGCCGTGTAATAATTATGTGATGATATAGTAAAACCGCATGTATATGGTCGCATGCATGCTCCATGTTCGCTGAGAAGCACGTGCTCAATTAAATCTCAGAACTGTTACAGTTAAGAACGAATATATTTCACACTAAGGAATTCGCCCCCTACAAATATTTGGGGGAATTATTATAGGGTTTCAGATGGAGGACTCTTACACACTTGATATATTCTCAAGAAGAAAAAAAACGCTAGGAACATTTCAGTAAAAAAATGCGGAATAAATTTGTTTTAGTAAATATGCGTTCAAGCAGTTTCTGACAATTTCTGATAAATCCATTCATTAACTATATATAATTTCTTAGCGCTTAAGGCCATCTCCAATCCAGAAATTTAATGGATGGTGTCTTCAAATTAAATTTTCATCCAATCACCTCTCTTCTCTCTCTTTTTATTCACCTATCCCCCTTAATTTTATTCTTGGTTCTTGTGTAGAAATGATTTCTTGCATGAGAAATGGTTTATTTATTTTTTTACCTCTCTCATCATTAACTCTCTTGCCACATAGGATTTTTACTTATGTGTCAATGTATTTAATGCTATGAAAACTAGATGACAAGCACAGGATTAATTAGCACTTCCTGCATTAACTTTTGTAGGGGTCTGGCACAAATGAACCTATACAGGATTAATGTTGCTGCAAGGATCATGGAAGTTTAAGTGTTTAATAAATTTTAAAAATTTCTAAATTGCAAATGAAATTGATGGCACAATTATCTAGGGACACTAGAGGACATCCCGCTCAATGCAGCAGGATAGTGATGTGTGCAATACAGTTGCAAAATTTTAATGCATAGATATGAGAAAATATTACATATAGGATAACATGAACTACAAAAGTGTTATCCAATGTTGTCAAATATGGCGACGGCATAACTTCTTTATAGCAATAATATTCTATACTAATTGAAGCACTCAATGTTGACTTATATACTAATTAATGAGGAATAATAGCTACAAAATGAAGAATTGTGATTAAACATGAAAATGATCCAATGACTCTTCTTTCTAAATGATGTGGCTCAATGCATGTTGAGCTATTGATCACAACTATATAGGATGTATAGATATGTCCCAAGGATATACATAAAACATCTCCATCATC